CATAAACTCCAGATCTTATTGCAATGTATCTGAGCTTTGCTATGTTCTAAAATTGATGTCAGGACGCTGTACCAGATGATTCCAGTCTGTATAGTATATCAGGAATCGTGTCAGTAGTCGGGGTTGTGGTACGTTCAAGCTTACACTTCTTTAATAATTAGTTGCAGAAGTTCACTTCTGTGAGTAAATAGGAGAAATCTCTATGCAGGTCATGGTCGTTGCCTTTTCTCTGGGTGTAGGAGCAATTCCATGGGTTATAATGTCTGAGGTATGCCCATTCTGCTACTTTTTGTTGAAAAGCTTTCCTCTTGTTACCTTTTGATGGTGGAGTAGCTGTTAGTACCCAAACTATGAGAAGAATTCGGAGTTGAAAATATTTTTGGTCGTATTTCAACAAGTAAACTTGATGCATCATTCTAAATTTATAATAGTCTGCACATGATATACAGTAGTGCATTTTGCATCTCAATTTTTTTTTCTTAAGCTTGTTTGGTGAGACCCTTTCCATAACCACTTTTTATTTTTTGTTTTCAAAATTGTTTCTAAGAACTATTATGAAGTAGTTGGTAAAGATTATGTTTATTATATATTTGAAATGACCATAGTAATGAGTATCTGTGAAACCAAGTCATAAAACAATTTTTAAAAAGTGGTCATCCAGCATATTATTACCAAAGCAGTCTCTTGAAGAAGCCTTTACCTTTCATCATTTTTCCCCTCTTTCTACTATAAAACAACCTTGAAATGGTGAGGTTGTTTGAGAGTTTGGTAAAGTTTTTACCAATTTAGAACGTAGTTACAAATTTCTCATGCAACTTTAGGCTAATCTGTAGTATTTGTCGTGCAGATTCTTCCTGTCAATATCAAGGGTCTTGCTGGAAGTGTGGCAACATTAGCCAACTGGTTAAGTGCGTGGGTGGTCACAATGACGGCGAACTTGCTCTTACAGTGGAGCAGTGGAGGTAAGCTTTCGAGTCTGGTGGTGATTTAATATAATATTACAATAGAAGTTCGGTTAAATTACAAGTTTTTGGTTCTTAAACTTTAAAAGGTCATGTCTACTAAGTTTATAAACTTAAAAAATTGTCTATTAAATCCCCTTAAACTTTTTATATTATGTCTAATAGATTTCTATACTTTAAAAGGTGTCTAGTAGGTCTATTTTGTGTCTCAAGCGTAAGTTGAAGAATTTGCTAAACACATTTTAAATTTAATTTAGAGATCTATTAGACAATGAACGGCACTTCTTAAACAACAAGAACCTATTAGATAACTTCTAAAAGTTCAAGAATTGAACTTGTAATTTAACCTAGAAGTTCTTTTTTATCTTCAAACTTGTAGAAGGTCATTTCCTCCCCCATTAAGATATTTAATAGTTCATTTATCGGACTTCTTGAATCAAAGTAACACGTAAACCCACACGTGCGGAGGAATGTAGATGAAAAAGATTATATATACCTTAACTTATCAGCTTAGAACTCTTAGATTTAGTGGTGATTTAACCGTTAATAAACGCAATCCCGGGTGTTTGACAGGAACATTCACTATCTACGCGCTGGTAACTGGTTTCCTGGTAGTATTTGTTACTCTTTGGGTCCCTGAAACCAAAGGCAGAACTCTGGAAGAAATTCAGTTTTCCTTCAGATGAAGCCCTCTCTTTTCTTCTCTGATTAAATTATTTTGGAAGAGGACTTTCTGCTGCCATTCTCATTTTGCAAGCACTGAATCAGACTCTCTCTCTCTCCAAACCAGAAGTCGTCTCTTTGGCTTTTTCTCATTCCATATTTTTGCAATATCTCAAATGTTGTTGCAATTATCTTGGCCAATGGTTTTTGTTTATATAATTTGATTAAATTAAAATTGATTTTCTATATGCTACCAATTTTTAGTTCATGCATTGTATACTTCTGTGAACGCAGAAATTACACATTTGATAACTTTAGCGACAAAATAAGCAGTTTTATCCGGTTGATGTATTTTAGTCCTTTTAATCTTCCGAAATGTTTGATTGTCTCAAAGTTTTTAGTTTATTTTATTTTGGTCTCTAAAGATTTTAAAGATTTAGAGACCAAAATAAAATAAACTAAATATATATATATATATATAATTTGAATTACTTATTAAAATTTTGTTAATTAAATATCTAAATTAAAATACAAACCAGATGATAAGATATTGAGCCATATCCAAACATCCCCTTGAATATCACAGGCCCAAAATCTAACCAATCATACCCTCAGCCATAACTTCTTAAAATATCTCTCTCTGAGGGCCAAACTAGCCTTAAAGGAGCATATCAGAGGCCACATGCAGAGGAATCAGAAAAATATTTGCCATGTAAACGAATAAAAACAAAGGTACCTGGTGTCTCAAAAATAGTGAGGCAAATTCAATATCCAAGTTGTGAGCCACTCAAATATGATCGTGCTTCTTTTTCAGTGGAGCCCCCTTTTCCTCTTTTCTTCTGATGAATGACAACACATTAGAACCCATAGAGAGAGAGAGAGATATAGAGCAAAAATACGAGATTTAAGGTACTCATGGAACTTCTTGTACTCAACCACTCTTTTCCTTTAATTGAGCTTTTTTTTGAAGCATTGGTTGTGTGTGGTTCTCTTTCCTTATCCCATTCCTTAAAATCCTGTTTTTTCTTTCTCGCAAACCTTTTTCTTACAAAAACAGAATCTGCATTATCTACTTTCCCGTTTCATATCAATTATAATCACCAGTTATCTTTATAATATAGAAGCATGACTGATAAAGAGAATGGCTTGCGCTTGCCTGAGGACCCAGGATGGTCTGAGCTAAAGCTTCCAGATATGTTGTTGGCCAATAGCGTACGTGAAGCCCATGCAAGAATTGAGGCCGAATGGGATTACCTCCAACGCTCGGCATGTCAAATGGCAGCAGGAAGAGCGCTTTGGAGTCATGTGATCCATGATCCACTAGCAGGGTTACTTGCAGGAGAGGCCTGCCTCAGAAACCTTCATGAGAAGATAAAGAAAGATCGAAGCAACAATGCAAGAGAGATTTCTGGAGTGATTCTTGCTGTTCGTACACTCTGGTTTGATTCAAAAATTGAAGGTGCTCTGTCATCCTTTAATGGCAGAGACTCACAGGTTGTTCTCCTCGGTGCAGGTTGGTATTTCAATTCCCCTCTCATATTGCGTAAGAGGGCCCAAACAGAGCAGGGTTATAAGATAGAAATAGCCAAAATTCCATAAATAACCTTTTCTTTTCTAGGCTTCTAGCAAAACGAGTCCCAATCATGGCATGTTAGAACCGCAAAATAAGAAAAGCAGTGAAGTTAGAATCTCACAAATTGATATCTAGAAAACGTGCATAATCTTTTCTTCTTCTTCTTTTTTTATTTTTTACTTTTTTTTTTATTTCTTTCTTGGTGGGATTGGGGTTGGGGGTTGGGGAAGAGGGAGCAACCATTAGGTAAGGATAAATGACCACCATAACCTATTTGGTGATTAAAAAACTGAAGTCACTAGAAATATCAAAATGGGAACTGTATCCTTGGCCGTAGAGAATAATCTGCATCTGGGATATTTGAGTTCAAGGGGGAAGAAGTATGTCAGATTTCAATCTAAGTTTCATTTGTCATTTCTGTAAGTTCAAATAAACAGATACAAGAAATTTTCTATTGTACCCCTTTATAATGTAGGAATGGATACGAGGGCTTACAGATTAAGTTGCTTGAAGGAAAGTGATGTCTTTGAAGTTGATTTCCCTGAAGTGTTACAAGTGAAAACCGCTCTTCTAAAGACAGCAATAGAATCTCCGTATGGGCACCATCATCAACAAATGGCAAAATCGTTAAACAGAATAGCAGCTGACATCAGAGGTAATGACTGGCTTGAAAAGCTTCAATCAGCTGGTTTTGCATCAGAGAAGAATACAGTGTGGGTTCTTGAAGGATTACTCTACTATCTTACCCACTCCCAGGCGATGCAAGTACTGGAGACAATAGCTGACAAATGCACCATAACCCCCACAGTCCTCTTAGCAGATTTTATGAACAAACCCTCAACCACTCTTTCAAATTCTATCTTCCACTTCTACTGTGATTGGCCTGATCATTTACTCCCATCCCTAGGATTTTCCAACACCAAACTATCACAGATTGGCGACCCAGATGCTAACTTTGGGCTTGTGCACGATCCATTAAATCTCTTCAATAAAATCCGCAGTTTACCAAGGTCAATGCAGACTCACCCTGATGATGGAAAACCTTGCTGCCGCTTGTATTTGGTACAGGCTTCTGGTTCACCACATCTACCACCCCTCCCATAAAGAAAATCCGTAAGGAGGATGAAAATCTCTGAGTAGGTTGGATGGATGCTAGACGACACATCTACCTGCTGCATGCTTCATTAAAACCATTCCATCGAGAGAATATGTCATATTATATTACCCAAGGTCTCTGCACCATACCATATGAGAGGTGTAGTTATACACTGTTTATTTGAGTTTATATCATATGTAAACTATGCAATTAGAACAATAACTTGGACCTAAATTGTGTTTTGTGAAAGGACTACATTACAAGAATTCCCCATAACGTTCACACTTCTCAATGTGAAGAGATCGAATATACAGACATCATTTCTACAAAGGGTCCACTAAATTAATGATGGGGGTCTGCAAAACAGGATTTATAATAATTAACTCGGAATCTCTTGGCCATATCAACCATATCATTCAACAGTCGTAGAATTTTAACAACTCACATATTCACAATCATTACGCCACAAAATGACTAAATTATCAGTAAATAATTATTTGATCCCTAATTTTTAATTAATCTTTATTGGTTATAACCTCCAGGAGTTGGATTATTTATTTTTTTTATCCCACGGTCATGCAGCAAGAAAAGCTAACACCGAAAGCATAAAAAAACAAAAAACCAGGGCGGGGGTGGCAATAATTTGTGAGAACGCAATCATAACAGGAAATGTCTTTGCCTTTTGTTGGTATAACAATGACAATATAAATATCAAAATGTACAGATTTATCGACAAATATCTGACTAGCGTGGCAAAGAAATGAAAATAAGACTTACACACTCCCAAGATGTATAATAAATCCACCGAACTAAATAAAACCTGCACAACACACATATGCATATATATGATAGAGTGAGTCTACATACATTTACGAACCAGATTTATCAATATAGCTGCTAGGAATTGAGCCTGAAAGCTTTGCTTTTGGTTTCATTTAATTGCTGCTTGTCTGGACTGAACACCAGAACATTCTAATTACAAAACAAATCATGGGACTTAAATTTCAAGACAATCCTTAATACCCTTCTCAAATTTGTCAAGGGAAGCTATGGTATCATTTAGTGCATCCAGTACTTTTTGTCTGCAACAGAAAAAGGAAAATGAGCAAGTATACAAGGGGAAAATTTTAGCTGATTTCCACATTTTTTGAACCTAAATTCAAGAGAAAATTTCCCCAAAATATAAACTATAAAAGGCAGAACGAAATAACTAGCTTCACTGAGTTGAAGTAAGTCGGCAGAATATAGAATCAATTTACATGGCAGGACTAGTCATTGAAATCAAACTACAATTCCATCACTTCCATGGATTGTTCGAGCTTACAGCATTACTACCCTCTAGGAAGATAATCGCTGTGAGTTTCAATTATGCACACCCAAAGTATAAATTCTGACAGATTCAAAGTCTAGTTTCACATCTCTACCAATTCACATTAGTCTTGAAGTTTACGTAGGCCAACGTAATTAAAGCAGATGGACCATCTACTAACTCAACTTGCCTAGCCTATCACATTAAGTATGAGAAATCCAAGATTTCAGGTAATCCAGTAACAAATCAGTAATAGTATGTCTTTTAAAATACTCATTCTGAGACAAATAACAGTTTGAGAGAAGCTATAATTTGAGCCTTTGAATGAAGGTCATTGAAGGAATACCTGTTGGAATCGACTTGAATATCAGTTTCATATGCGAGACTATTGAGTGAAGTGAAAGAGCTGCATCGTAAGAGCAAGAAAAGATTACAATGAACAACTATCAGCAGAAACAGAACTAATGGCTATTGGATTATTGAAAGAGACTATAAATACAGCGTTTCAACTTTCAATTTTGTTGAAGCTTTTTAATCCAAGAGCCCTTATCAATTTAATCTTTACTCATATCATCCTCTATTGGTATGTACACCAAAAGAAGTAACTATCACTTATCAAAACAAAAGCATTATCCGATTGAAGATATAAAAGAATAGGCTGAAGTAACTGAAATGGGGATTACCTCACTAGATCTTTTAGCCGACTTTCAGCTTCTAGTTTTATAGGATCTTTATTTCCAAGCAAGGAGGATGCATTTTTCACAACCAGTTGAAATGTACAGACCTGAGGAATTTACAAGTTGAGACTGAGGAGCTAAATTCGAGCTAAAATATTGGTAGAAGATTTCAACTTCTCTGATCTTAGAACAATGTGAATTTAGTTACTTCAATAGATCCTTAGGATAAACGACGCGGGATCCTATAATAAAATTTGGGATTGTACATTATGTTTGGATGAAAATAAACAGAAAAAGCTTGGAGCTTATACCTGATTTACAAACACGAGGAATTCAAAACGAAAACATAAAAGAATAAGAACAAGATCAGGAGAGTGAACCTCGACTCCTGTGCTCGCTTGAAATTGGACAAACGAGTTCCTATCCTTCAGAACGCAATCCCTTGCAGCAGATTTAAGCAGTCTTTGAACTTCCTCCAGATCCTTGCTTGAGTAATCGGAATCACTGGCTGCAACCGGAAACGATGTAAGTGCGTGCCAAACAAAAAGATAAAGGATAACCGAGAAAGAATGAGAGACTTACTAAGCAAAAGGTAAACAGCGCGAAGGCTGCCTCTGGAGGCATCAATTGGTGCCAAGAGAAACTTGGAGGCCTTCTTCTTTTGCTCCTTTAACCAATCCTTCGGTCCTGCTGCAAACAAACCGATAAACTAGGGTTCCAGCGAGAAAATGAAGAACGAAATAAAAAAATAAAAAAAAAATCTGGCGTTGAAACCAATCGACGGAACAATGTTGCGTTGTGTGCTTACAAATGCCGATATCGAAAGCAGTGGCGGGAGCAGGTAGAAACAGAGACGGCATCGCGGAGAGAAACGAGAGCATAGTGAAGCCTCTACGATTAATCGGAAGTCGATGCCACTGCAGTTGGCTTTCTCGGAATTCATCATTGTTCTGAGAAACCGGATTGAGCGGTGAGACGGCGGTTGCGGCGGCGGATGGAACAGAGATAAGGCGGAATCCGATCGTTGTCATGTTTAGTGAACGGAGATGCTTCTGAGTTATGTTCCCGGAATTTTTTCATGGAAAATAATGGGGAAAAAAATCAATTTTTACAGTGAGGTATGCCAATTTTTTATCATGAACTTCAAGTTGAAGCTTGCAGTCATATTACCTTAAAAAGTAATGCAATTTTACCATAAATTTTGACCTTTTTTTCCGAAGAACATCAATTTTAACTTGGATATCGTTGGAGGAAATATTGTTGTTTGTTTAATGAATTATAAAACAAAATGTATGATACAAAATTGATGTGTTCATAAAAAATACAATACTAAAGTTTTTATTATTATTATTTTGAAATGTGTGAATTTTTTGGAATTCATTCCTGTATATTGATCAAATTTAATTTTGCATGAGTTTGATTTTTGTTAAAATCACTGAGGTTGGAGATTTTATTACCTTTATTTTGTGGAAATTTCAAATTTGTGAGTGCTTGAGTTGAAATTGAATAAAAATTATCTTGTCTATCAATTTGATGTTATGATTAAAATTAATACAACTTGTCAAGTTGGAAATTTTAAGTTTTTTTTTTTCTAAAAATAAGTAACCTTTTAAATTAGTTAAGTGAAAATTTTTTGTTAGCAGAAATCCTTTGTTCTCGGTGGCATGACCACTTTTTTTTTTATTGGACAGATATAAGATAGGGTTTAACAAAATATTTAAAAGGTTACAAATTAAAATTAAAAAAATATGTATTTAAAGGTTAACAAAATCAGAATGCGTAGAGGTATTAAAAAATCAAAATATATAATTTTTTCAAGTAAATATAATATATAAGTACATCATTACCAATTCGATCTTAATACGACATCTATTTCTTAGTAAGAGGTCATGAATTCAAATTCTCACCTCATTTATTGTATTCAACAATTAAAAAAAAAAAGTCTCCTCTAGAGACGACTTCATTTATTGGTTCTTGTATACTAAACTTTAAAATAAATGACCAATTTAGTTCACATTTAAAAAATTATAACACAAATTTCATCCCGAATGAAAACTGCTTAATACAAAATTTATGGACTACATTTCAGTAAATTGAGTGAGTGGTGTCATGCAAAATTGTGATGAAAAGTAATAAGATGAAAATAAAAATAATAGAGCAAAATGACCACTTTTTAAATTACAGGAATAAAAATGAACACTGTGACTAAAATGAATAAAAGTAAAAAGTAAAAATAGATATTTTGAAAATACAGTCAATTAAATAATATTTAAATATTTTTATTATTATATAATTTATGTTTTTGTTGGATTATTTTGTATCTTTTTGTTTGTTTTTCGAAAGGTTGTCAAAAAATTTAGTTATATAGTATTACTATAAGAATATAAAAGAAAATTAATTTAAAATTTATAGGAATGAGAATAGAAAAAAATAATACTCAATACGAAGTAATTATAATATAAATATACAATATATTGTTATATTTGATTGATTTGATCAAGCCCTGGACCAATCCAACAGTTCAATCTAAATACGGTTCAAATGATGAACCAATCAGAAAAAAAAATGCATATTTCAATCTAATTTGAAGGTTCATACGGGATAATCACAATCAGCGATCAAAAAATTAAAAAAAATCCGAGAGAGAAATTCATAATAACATCGTCGAATTTTGAGGTTTTGTTTAATAAAAAGTTTGTGTGTTGCCTCTAATTACGGCCATTTGGAAAAATATCATTTTAAAAGCTAACGACTTTTATCTCTTCCAGTTTCATTTATTTATTTGAATTTCAAATAAGAAACATTTCATGTTTATCAGAATTCCTAATTTCACGAGGAATTCCGAAACACAAATAATATGAAATCCTACAAGGAATAGAACACATAATCCCACCTCTATTTAATCATAATCCAACTCTCATAATTTCATTCTCCATTCACCAGTCATTTGTTCTCTAAGAACAATGACATCTGTTATAATAGGAGGTAGAAAGAGAAAGAACTCACCTGATAATGATACTGAAATTGATACGGATAACAATGACATGTCGAAGGTTAATAAAAATGATCAAAAGAAGCACAAGCAGTTAGAAGTTGTGTTTTCGTCAACAATCGAGATGCCAGCGCYATTGAGGGACCGTATCGCTGAACTCGGCGGTTACGACATCCAAATAGTGATCCAAAAACGACTACAGGACACTGACCTCAACCGTAACCACGGTCGATTGTCAATTCCGATCAAGAAGCTCCTCAACGATTTCACTACRGAGGAGGAGAAGCAACTGCTGGACCAACAAGATGAACATCAGAATAACAAAAATGGAGTGMGCGCATTGATTCTTGATCCTTGTTTGCGAGAGAGTACCATTCATTTGAAGAAGTGGAAGATTGGAAGTCGCGAAATCTACTGCTTGGTGTCTCAGTGGAATTCTTTGGCGCAAAAAAATTCCTTGGAGAGTGGAGACTTCATCCAACTTTGGAGTTTTAGAAAGAATAGTGGAACACCCACCCCTCATCTTTGCTTCGCATTGGTCAAGCTCGACATATCTGAAGGAATCTTTAGATTTATTTAACTTTTTAAGTTTAATCCTAGCTAGGTTGGTTTAATGTTCATTCATAGTTAGAAAGGTGACAAATTTTGATGTAAAGTGGAGTATTTTCGTATATCATTAACTTCCTTCAGATTTATTTAACTTTTTAAGTTTAATCTTAACTAGGTTGGTTTAATGTGCATTCATAGTTAGATAGGTGACAAATTTTGATGTAAAGTGAAGTATCTTCGTATATCATTAACGTAACAATAATGAAGAAGCTATGAATTGTGATATGTTAATTGAACAACAATGGTATCCTATAGATCTCTATCTCGATTAATAGATTTTTACCAAATTAAACAATATAATGATGAATTGATCTCTACTCTAATAGCGTAAGTACTAATATTTATCGGAGTAAAAAGAAAACCCTAAGTCTCAAAGCTAGGCTTTTCATCATATAAATCTAAATTGGAGACATAAAAAACAAATGGAAACTTTAAGCTCTCAACATTCAGTCTCTTTCTTTTAAACCCATAAATCTGAATAGGAAACTTAAACCCACTTAATCAAAATGTATAATAGATATTTTTTTAATTGCAAAAAAACTCTTAAACTATTGAAATTATAACAATCATATACACTATAATAATTTTTAATTTTGATCGATCACCTAACACATTTGTAGTGACCACTTGCAAATTTCATAAAATAATTACAAGTTAAAAATAAACATTTACMATTTAACTCAAAAATATTAATCTTTTAAATTTTTAAAAAAATATTAAGGATCCTACCTTAGTTTTGAGATGTAATCCTATAAATATTGACAATGTTGACCTTAGAAAATATCTAAATTGATTTAGATTATTGTTAAATTATTAACAAAAAATTAACTGTGTGAGGATAGCGCCTAAATGTAGACATGGTCGAGGCTTTAACAATGAACGAAGGTACTATTTGTTAGACTCGGTCTTTGAAACCAACTCTACATGCATTTTTAATTTGATGAACAAATTAAGAAATAGGGTCAACTTCATAAGGTGGGAGGGAATTTTTTTTTTCTTTTTCGAGTTGAACGATGCGAGGATAGAGATTTGAAACTCCAACTTTTTTTGTTTGTTAATGATATATGTTTTATATCTAAATTGGTTGGGAGAGGAAATGTTGTTTCTCACGTGGTTCTAGCGTGAATGGTTCTATGTGAAAGAAACAAATTAGTAATAATCAAAATGCTCTTACCTTATTATTATTCTTCTCTAAATGGCCATCATGGTTTGAACCTATTCTCTCTAAATTCTTTAAAATTTACTTTGAATCAATATGTCAAATGTTATTCTTATTCTTCTAATCTAAATTGATTTAGGGTGTGTTTGGTAGTGATGGTAAAATGAGTGATTTTGAAGAAAAAAATAGATTTAAGTATAATTGATTTTCCAGAAATGTCATCCAAGTAATGTGATTTTAAGCTGTCCTAAAATTAATTTTTTAATTTACCAAATATGATCAATGGAAAATGAGTAATTTTGACAATGACAAAAGCATGCCAAAATCACTCTCAAATACACCATTTAAAGTATAGGTTAAAAAACATTTTTGGTCCCCGTACTTTCACTAAAGTAACAATTTAGTCATTGAACTTTAATTTGTAACGATTTAGTCCCTGTACTTTTAAATTGGTAACAATTTAGTTATTGAGGGTATCATAAATATGTAATTTTTTAATTTAAAAAATAAAATTATCGTTTTTAGGTTAAAAAAACATTACAGTTAATTATAGTATGTCAGATAAGAAAACTGCACTAAAAATAGTTTAGTTTTCATATAAAATTAAAAACAATGATTACAACATTGTTTTTTTAACTAAAAAATATATTGTTTTATAATACTTTTTTAGTTAAATAATTATGAGATGGAAGATAAAATCATCTATTTTTAAGACTATAATATGTGTTTTCTTAGTCTTTAGATTGACAATATAATTATTTATATTTTTAAGAATATAATAATATTATTTTTGTTTGCAAATAAACGTGCATAATTTATTAATAAGGAAGTTGGAAAGGTGGGAATCTTTTACTTGCCAGTTACAATCCCACTAATATAATAATCTTAAATAAGTAGGAAACAAGATGCTTAAATAAGTATCAAATTATAGTATTTTTTTTTAGTATTTTTTTTAGTATAACATGTGAAGGTGAGGATTAAACTCACAACCTCATGGTTGGAGGTATATACYAATTACCGAACTATGCTKGTTTTGACAAGTATCAAATTATAGTTATCCCAATATTTATGATGGGAGATTTATATATCATTGCAAATGATATCATAATTTATAAGTTAATGTCAGTAATTCATATCTACTAATTCCATTGAGGTTGAATGTTCAAACTTTTATATCCCTAATTTAATGTATTAAAAAAATAACGATATTTGATATTTGTATGAGTTGGGATAGTTATATATGTAGTGGACAAAATAGTTTTTGTTCCCTTTACTTTTCCCAACAACTAAAGTTCTTGGTCAACATTTTTTTAATTCATAATTAAAGTGTTATATATTATTATGAAAGGAATTAGTTTAACTAAAACAAGTACACACATCAAGAACGAGACAAGACAAAAAAAAAAGTTTATTTGATAAAAGATTCGAGGCAATTGCATAAAATAGCATAAAATATATCGAGGAAAGTCTTATTTATTATTATTATTTTTTAACTAAAGCTTGTAGAGTGAAAAACCGAATTGATAGTCCTTTGATTCGTGATATATCATAATTATGGTTGAGCTATGCATACTTAGTTATCGAAYAAATTCTTGTACTGTAATTTCCCTAAAAATTGTAGGGAAATTTTTTTCTTTCATGTTTGACATTGAACTTGTTTAAAATGGGAATTCTCCACTCGGATGTAGGGATTCGGTCTGGTAAGGATCTTTGTGATTCTTGACAATTATTGTGTGATTAAATTTTTTTTACTTTTGGCTAAGCATGAAGCAATTTACCCGCCAGATTTATGCATTGTGACAAATTTTCCCGTTGAGAAAAAGAGGAGGTTGAAAAGGGGGAAAATGGAGGTTGAATCTTCGCCTTCAATTGCGAATCGCCTTCATCGGCGAAAGTGATCGCCGCCGTCCCATCAGAGAGCAATCGTCAGCCACAATCTCTCTCTCAGACGGTTCCACGTGGCGAGAACCCACCATTCCTCTTCGGAGATGCTTCAAATTCCCCAACCGGAACGAGCAATCACAGCACGAGGCATCCTGCCCAATTCCGGTGGATAGAGAATCGAAATTAGGCGTAGGATTCCTTTTTCCAAACATCAATGAGTAATTTAATTCTGGGTTGGAATTATTATTATTCCAATTCCCTGCGAATTGAAGCGCCACTAGTGTTTGTGTTTGTGTTCTCTTTCGCGGTATTTATATTGGGAATTTAGATTTGTTCTTCCCCCTGCAACTTCTCTCCGCCAACTCGTAATCGAACATCTGTCGCGTCTATTTCGGAATCTGATTCTCCATTTTTTTTCTTTCTTATTTCTTCGGCCTTCCCCAACGCCACGACTGGTTTCCAAACAAGGTTCAATTACCCCAAATGCCTATTTAAATGCACCATGCGAATTCCCAGGAGACAGGTTTCCTTCTGCCTCTCCTTCTTTTCGCTCGAATTCTCTTACCCTTTATCCTCCCGAAATTTTCTCGGAATTCCCAATTGCTTTATCCGCCAACCGAAACGMATTCATACCCTAGGTTCGTCTTTCTCTCTCGTTTTCGTTTTTCTTACCTGCATAGATTGAGCTTAAGTGGCATATTTATTGCTGGGTTCTGCGTTTGTGATGCATTTATAAGTTTCTCGGAATTGGGTCTATTCAAACGTATCGTTTATTGTTCTTTTTAATTAAACGTTCTGTTTTTACATTMCTTCTCAACCTTCATTTCCATTGGTGTCTCTTGTTTGTATTAACGTTTCAGTATATCCTTTGGGGATTTGGCAACATTCTGCTTCAGGTTCGTTATTCAGTTTGCTCTTTGGCCTCTCACGTATAAGCACCTCCGTGTCTGTATCTTTGTTTATGTGTATGTATATATCATTATCTATGTATATTATGTATGTATGTAGCAGTTTCTTGGGGCAGAATTTGAAGTTTCAGTTGGCAAAACATTCAAGAATTGAGAAGTGCAGGTTTGCAGGTTTGGGATGTAAAGACCCGTAAGACCGCTATTTGAGAGGGTTGAATTTTGGGTGTTGGTTGGAGTTGGAATCTCGCTTGGTTTATGTTTGCTCCGTTGGTTAATAGTAGAATGGGAGGTAGGAAATGAAGGCTTGGCTGTCCGTGGGAGAGGAAGAATTCTTGTCTGTACAGTTTTCTATTTCCCGCTAATAGCTGGAAAAGATTTATGTTTAGGAGTTATTATCATTGTTATTTTCCAAGGAAGAGCAATCTTGAATGTCTGTATTTGAGTTCAATTACGAATTTACGGGTTGTCTCTGGTCATGGATCTACTTGAAACTATCGGCTGCAAGAGTCAGAATTTCACTCCTAGCATAAATTATTGATTTTTTTTTATACTTCTATGTTTTGACGTTGACTTCTTGGTTTTACATTAAATCAGAGATTAATCATTTCTGGACTGTTTATTTAGCCCTCAATTTCAAGCTCATCATCTCTCTTTCCTGTAAACTACCCTGGCAGGATTAAGTCATTTGCGTGCAATTGATGCCATGGGTGAGAACCTTGGGACTGTCATGAAGGACAAGAGAAGGAATTATCTGGATGTTATCCACAGTGAGGATAGCCAGGAACCATGTATATGGTCGTCATCAGCTGAATGCAAAATTGGCATTGGAAAGCAAATCTTTTGCAATAGATCCTTGAATATGAAAAATATTGTTGCGGTGGGGTTTGACATGGATTACACGTTGGCACAATACAAGCCAGAAACTTTTGAGTCCCTCGCATATGAAGGCACAATAAGAAAGCTGGTTTATGATTTGGGATACTCTGAAGAGGTTTGTCTCTTTTTATGTTTTAAATAAATTACTGCAGCTGCTCATTTCCCATTGTCAGGATAACATATCTTTAACGTTAAGTTTCTGTTGGTGGATGAGTTTCTAGTAGTAACTTCTTTTTATTCTTTTGTGGCAATTTAAGTGTCTATATTTACTTCTTTGAAACAAAGTTATAAAATTATGAGACATGTAGCAATATTTTGTTCGTTGGTTAAGAATATTGACCTTATACAGTTGCTGAATTGGTCATTTGATTGGAAATACATGGTCAGAGGTTTGGTTCTTGACAAAAAGAGAGGCAATATCTTGAAGGTACTACTATTTTTCCTTTTCCCTCTTAATTTATCCTTCAGCCTAGTTTTCTTTTCACATTTTTACTTATTTCAATTGTAATGAAATGGCTCGAATGATTGAATTAATTGCTGTGTACAGATGGATAGACACAAGTATGTGAAAGTGGCCTACCATGGTTTCAAGGAGTTGTCCAAGGAAGATAAAGTTGGGACCTATGGAAATACTCTAGTACGGGATTCTTTTGATGAACCCGACTATGCTCTCATTGATACCCTTTTTTCGCTAGCTGAAGCCTACTTGTTTGCTCAATTGGTTGACTTTAAGGACAAATATCCAGACAAAGTTCCTGAGGATATCGAGTAAGAATTTACATGGCTTTGACACTTTTTACTTATTTTTAATTTTTTAGAATATTTTTATTTTTAGTCCGATCTTGAAGGTAATAAATTAAGACCTTCCAGTATAAGTTTCTATCTTTTACATTTGTGGTTATTTCTATCATGAAACTTGGGTTTAGGAGTAAATTTTAATTTTATTAAATGAATTAGTATAGAGCATTTTAAGAGCAAATTTTTATAAATAGTTAAATCACCGCTGAATCCTAAATTTAAGTTGATAAGTTACAGCGAATTTAATTATTTATCACTACTTTAACACTCTCCTTCACTAACACTCGTGGGCTTGAAAATTTGCATAAGATCAAAATATATTTGTTCTAACTCCAATTTTATGTAACCTCAATTATTAGTATTAATTAAGCAAGACAATATTAGAGGGGTTCGAATACAGAACCTTATACTTTGATACCCATGTTAAATCACTTCTGAACCGAAAAGCTTATGCTGATGAGTTACGGCAAATTTAATCATTTATCAATATATTAACATAAATTTTTCCAGTAGTTTCAATCTTATGCTTGTATGATTCATGTTAACCCACTATGATTGCAAGATTTCATTTTAACCAGGGATGAACACTATAACTGCACGATAACTTATATGAAAGACATATTATGGTAGATAGTATTTGGTGAACTAAATGAATTCTACTTGTATGAGATATAGCTGTTATGCACTCTATTAATTAACTTATCACCAGACTTGAAGAAAAATATGGGTTGTGGTACTGTTCTTGATTTGATCTGTTTAGTTGCTGTATATTGTTTCTCATTTTGTTCTTCCAGTTATGCTCGGATGTATAAAGATGTTAGAGCTGCAGTAGATTTGTGTCATCGTGATGGGACCTTGAAGCAAATGGTTGCAAAAGAACCTAAAAGGTGTGGATGGAAAAGTCTAATCTCTTAACAATATGCTCTAGTGATCAAATAGTATCAAATTCTTTAACTTTTGTTATACAGTGGTTCCCAATATTTCTTGATTCCTTCATTCATATTGGTTTGCAAATTGATTTGGTATCTCTAATGCTGACTTGCTCTATGTAAATCTTGAATTAACTTATTTTCTTCCCYACCGTTGGCATTGTCTTCTTAGGTATATCAACGAGGATACCTCAATTGTGCCTATGCTTAAAATGCTCAGAGATTCTGGCCGTTCTACTTTCTTGGTGACAAACAGGTATATTAGTTTCAGATTGTTACTTCTGTTATGCCATACATAGTTCCTAAGGACTTATGAAATAATAAATAATGATTGCAGCTTATGGGACTATACAAACGTTGTGATGAACTTCCTTTGTAATTCTTCTGCGGATGGTGATCAGAAGTGCAATTTTGATTGGCTTCAGTATTTCGATGTTGTCATCACCGGCAGGTTATCTTTTAACATCCTAATCTAGAATCATATATGTCTGTGGTAAACTAGTTCAATTAAACACGATGCTGGTTATTGTTTTAGCTCTTTTATTGATCAATTCGTGGAATGAAATTGAACCTTGACATACTTTCATTGAAGTTTTTTCATTCTTTATTCCCAGTTCACGGTTCTTGCTTCATTATTTAATGTCCTTTTAAACCTGTTCTACCTTGGTGTCTATTTATGTTGGATATAATTGGAGCTCTTTTAAACCTGTTCTACCTTTTCTCTTTCTCTGAAATAATTTTAGTCCCTATATGATGATGTTCAGAAGTTAACTTTTCTAGCTGCCAATTCGCTCTATTCACAGCATAATAAGATATGAAATTGAAGAGATTCAATGTCTGTGGGCTCTAAAGTTGAATATGGTCAATTTTCCCCCCATCTTATCTATTATTTCAAAGAAAAAGGGAATTTTAATGGGTGAAACGAAGTTATATTGTCGTGACTTGGTTTTCATACACTTGAATATAGTAGCAATATGAATTATTGTTTAGGAATCTTTTTCTCCATGATTGCCTTAGCGTCTATAATTGAAAATTTGAAACAATATCTGGAGGCTGTATTGGGTGAGGCACCTAGTACTCCTAAATATATTTAGTTGTCTCAGTCCCTTGAATCTTTTTTCTGAACAATTATTTGTATAAACAGTGCTAAACCAGGATTTTTCCACGAGGACAACCGTGCCAATCTATTCGAGGTTGAAGCAAAGTCAGGAATGCTGCTTAACACGGATAATGGCTCGCCTATGCCTCAGGTTAGCCTGGTAAAGTATGGTAGCATCAAATGCATTTTGTTTATGGCTTTAATTTAACCTTAATAATTGATGAAGGTGGGAAACACTTCACTAGCATTTTCACCGATGAAGGTAGACAAGTCTTGCAGAGTTTTTCAGGTATGGGATCTTCTGTCAAGTTAGATCCTTTTTCACAAGCCATGTTCTCCTTTTATTTTTGTTTCTTATCTTTTTATTACGATATTTAGATTGCTTTGACATGCATTCTTCCAGGGAGGCAATGTCAAGCATCTGCATAAGCTTCTTTCCATTGAATCAAGTTCACAGGTGAACTCTTAATTTATCTAGTAGGTATATAGGTTGGAAGAAAAAGAATCATAATACTTTTCATAACAAGTCATGTCTATTCCATGTTTAACTTCAATTTGTTTTGGTTCAGCGCTCTTAGAAGTCATCTGACGAGTTCAATGGGGCTGCATTTATTAGATAATTTGTTTACAATTTTATTTAGTAGCCTCTTTGTGCTTAATCTTGGTACTTGGCCTCAACTTCTTTTGCCCCCTTTTCTTGTTTTTGTTTCTTTTAAGGTTCTTTATGTTGGAGATCACATCTATGGAGATATATTACGAAGCAAAAAGGCTCTTGGTATAATCCTCCCCCCCTTTTGTTATTCCAGGTTCATCTCGTTCGGTRAATTGTGTGTTTTTGTTATAATCACTTGTCGTTTGGGGCAGGATGGAGGACTATGCTTGTTGTTCCGGAGCTCGAAAGAGAGGTCGAGCTCTTATCAGAGCTGAGGAATACCCGCAAGGTTTTCACCTTCCTTTTCTTCGGAAACAAGAAATGTGGAATTGACCAACTTGCCACTTCTGAAATGCATCAATTACCATATTTTTAGTCATGTAATATTTACTCTTACCTTGTGCAGCAACTTCAGCTATTAAGAAACGAGCGGGATGTCATTGAAGACAAAATACATCATTTGAAGTGGTTCCTCAAGTAAACTCTCTTCTGGACTTTTCTCATTTTGTTCTACTCCTCTCAAAAGTTAAAAAAATGCTTTCACCGAGATTGACGTTATAACATTCGATACAGGTTTGAAGATGTCGAGGCTGACGAGAAGGAGACATTATCTACTAAACTACATCAGCTAGAGGTGATGATCATTACCATTACAATTCAACTATAAACTGAAAACAGTGTAATTCACGTAGATGAGGCTTCATTGGTTTTGTTTTACAGAGCGAACGAGAACAAGTGCGGCTGAGCCATCAAGAAGTGCTACGGGAATGTCACCAACAGGTACGATGTTCTTGCGGATTTAGAGCATCTGTATTATGTTCCAAAATTTGCAAGAAACTTAAAAAAGTGATGAAAATGGCAGTTTCATGGGGTTTGGGGACAACTGATGAAGACTGGATATCAAAACTCAAGGTTTGCTCATCAGGTAGAGAGATTTGCGTGCCTTTACAGCAGCCAAGTGACCAACTTGAGCCTCTACTCCCCAGATAAATATTACAGGCCAAGTGAAGATTTTATGCCCCATGAATTTGGGATCATCCCTTTGTGAAAATTAGTTTAACAACTCCCCAACCTTTGTCTTTATAAATTAAATTCCTCAAAAACAGAGGAAGAAAGCTATGATTAATGAAATTTGTAGTACATAATTGCACTTTGACCATTTTAATTTAATACAACTTTAGCTTCAACCACCTCTCTTCCACATCTCTACCATTAATTATGTTCACAAGGGGTTTTTTTTTTTAATTATCAACGTACTCGGGTAAAATAGACTGGTGAGGAGATGAGATGCAAAAATTTCTAGCACCAACTACTACGGGAGTATGAGTTTTTCTTTCATTCACTRCATGCCACGTCAGCATTGTATTAAAAATTATGTAAGGTTCACCAACATTGAAAAATTATTTATAAAAACGAAATCATGAACAAAAGGAGTACGGTAGTCTCGTAGTATAGAAAATTTTTTCGAGATGAATAAACCTCTAGTGCTCTACATGGCTAGGTATGTATCATTAAAGATAAATGGGAGAGAGAAATACATAAAATAAGATATTTTTTAAAAAATATATATAAAATAAAGAATTGTCAAATTTTTAGTGGTGATAAATAACGTGASATGTTAATATGAGCATATAGCTCAAATGGTTAACGTATTTATTTTCAATCAAGAAGTCGAATTCAAATTCTCACTTCCACACGTTGTACTTAAAAGATAAAAAAAAAAAATAAATAAAGTGTGATTGAGAATTGATCTCATTAATCTAAATCTAAATCATCATCACATCGAGTGAATAAAATCCGAAATTATACACACTATACCAAGCTTAACCATGGTGAATTCCAATAAGTCATCAAGCATTAGACACCGCGGCTTCCTATGATGATCACATATTCACACTCATTCCCTTCTTGTTCTTCTTCTGATCGTCTTGGCTCAACAGCCTCGCCTCGCCTCGTCCTCCGTAGCGAACTCGAGTTTCAACTTCTTGATCAGAAGAGACAATARTTTCTGTTCAAGTGAAGATCGTGCCATTATTTTTGGATCACCAATTCAATTTCATAGCTAGTGGTGGATCCAACTTAAATTCAACTAATTATGGCACYCATCCCCGATTTATATATATAAAAAGTTTATGAAGTGAACTTAACTGTTATAACACCTATTTTCGACCTCAACCCACATATGTAATATATAGGCATAAATTACAAAGTTTGTTCTCTAATTTTATARAATGTGTTCTTAGACTTTAAAAATAGTCGAGGGATAGAGCTTTTTTTTTTAACTGACATATTTACATAAGAGCAATGAATACAACATTTTTTTAATCGACATATTTATATAAAAGAGCATTTATAATTTTGGAAAAGAGTCGAATAAGGGYTTGAACAAGGGTTGGCAAAGGAGGCGTGCAGTTATACTAGTACTCGTGTTGTTCGAAATCAGATAATCCCTGAAATGGATTGGCTTTTCTTTTTTTTTTGAAGGAAAATACCATTCGATGTTGATAAGTGCGTTGTATTATGTTTAATGATATTTACATAAAAAATTGTTACCTCTACCTCTAGAATGAATATTATGTACGAAAACCCTAGCTATAATTAAATTTAAAAAATTATAAAAATTTAAAGATTCCTTCAGATATGTCGAGCTTGACCAATGCGAAGCAAAGTTGAGGTGGGGATGTTCCATTGTTCTTTCTAAAACTCCAAAGTTGGATGTAGTCTCCACTTTCCAAGGAATTTTGTTGCGCCAAAGCGTTCCATTGAGACACCAAGCAGTAGATTTCGCGGCTTCCGATCTTCCACTTCTTCACATGAATGGCGCTCTCTCGCAAACAAGGATCAAGAATCAGCGCGCTCACTCCACTTTTGTTCTTTTGATGTTCGTCTTGTTGRTCCAACACCTTCTTCTCCTCCTCTGTAGCAAAATCATTAAGGAGCTTCTTAATCGGAATTGACAATCGACCATGGTTCCGATTAAGGTCAGTGTCCTGCAATCGCTTTTGGATCACTRTTTGGATGTCGTAGCCGCCAAGTTCAGCGATGCGATCCCTTAACAGTGCTGGCATCTCGATTGTTGACGAAAACACAACTTCTGATTRCTTCGGCTTCTTTTGATCATTTTTATTAACATTCAGCATATCATTATTATCGATATCGGTATTCGCAGGAGCGTTCTTYCTCTTTCGACTTCTTGTTGATACGGATGCCATTGAGAGCTTCAATTGATTGAGAGAGTGATGAAATTATGAGAGTTTGATTATTCCATTCCATTAAATAGAGATGAGATTATGTGTTCTATTCCTCGTAGGATTTCATATTGTTTGCGTTTTGGAATTCCTCGTGAAACTGGGAATTCTTTTAAAATTAAATGTTTCATATTTGAAATTCAAATAAATAAATGAAATTGGAAGAGATAAAWCTCGTTGAAATATTGATTATTTTTTATGTATTTTTTAGAATAATTGTTGATATTTACAGAAATATAAAATCCTAAATTAAACTAAATCTCAAAATTCGGACTATTTTATAATAAATTACTGTACCGTGTGAACCTAAGGAGGCGGATTTTTTTAAAGAAATTTTTAATTTAATATGTATTCTTAAAAATGTAACTTAACTTTTCATTTTCTTAAAGCGTAAATATATATTACAGATGTGAATTACACTAATTTTGTATAATTTTATTTTTTTGCTATATTGAAAAATATTTATTTATTTTATGCTATTTATTTACAATTAATTTTTTTTAATACAAACTCTTGGTTTGAGGCATATGCCAGATTATCACTATGCTCCTGTTGGCTATTAAGAATTTAATTGAACCAACTAAATCCAATCAAAATTTTAACATCTAACTCCTTATTATATTGATTAGATAAATGAAAACACACTATACATTAATGTTTTTGCTAAATAATTTATTGAAACTTAATAACAATAATTAAATTAATTTTTTATTTAACTGGAAGAAATGTAAATTTAAAAACTAAAATAGAATAAATATAAAATTTTAAAGATTTTAATTGAATTAATTTTGTTTACAGGTAATTACACCAATGCCAAAATAAATATCTATTTTTATATGTAGTACTAAGTTTAAAGTTTTATGAAAATAGCCTAATTCAAATTAAAATCAAACTCAAATGTAGGGTAAAACACRTCTRAAMTATTTAATGAAATAAAAAAAAGAAAAGTCGTGTCATTTTTTAAACTACATATATATTTATTAGAGTACAACAAATTATGGATAGAGATTCGACCTTCCAAAAATTAAAAAAAGAAGTAAATACCAATTATCACTAACTATACCATGTTGGCATTAAATTATATATTAATAAATTTCTCTTTTATTTAATTTTTATTTTGAGGATGAAGACGATGAGTGTTCATCCACCCTCATTTTTTATCACCAAAATTATAAAATTAAATATCAAAATATTACTGTTATTATATAACTTTTTTGCCGGAAGGATATTATATAACTTTTAATATTATAATTCATATACAATAAATTAAAATTACRGAAAAAATAATATTTGAAGAATATTTATATATTTTTCGTATTTAAAAATTAGAAAAACGTATCAAAKKRA